TGCATACTGTGATAGATAGATGATGTATTACTGAACAGTACACTTGAAATCTATGTAACATTACTAACCATTGTCATCCCCAAAGTTTGAATTAAAAAAAAGTTGTGCAGTGAATTGTAATTAAAAAATTCTACATAGCAGATTCACCTTTGTCAGTACCTTTCTTCTCTGTTAGAAGAATGGTCTCATTTGCAATGGTCTTGCCATTAGTATTATGCTAAGATTTTGCCTTAATATGTACTTCATTAATTACCTCTCTCATCATCAACATAATTCACTTCCAATTTTCATCTTCAAAGGGCTCTGCCAGCCTCTGTAAATAGTCATTTCTATTGGTTCCATTAGTTTAAATGGTAACACAAAAGTGTTAACACACAAGATGGGTAGTAAGTGTTGAGGAACACACAGAGTCATTAAGATGTAATCTCAAATACTGAAAATAAATCTAAAAGATTAAAATCAACCCTTTTGTGAATGTTTATTCTTTATTATTACAAAATAAGAAGTAAATGTAGTTAAAACAGCATTATCAACTACCATTTATTGAGATACTTCCTACTACTTTCAATGTTGTCAGAACCTGTGCAAATATCATCTCTAATCTTTATAAACATATTTAACCTTATTTTAACATATGGAGCTAAACCTCAAATATCTGAAAAGACTTACCAAATGCTTGAAATGCTTATAGTTAAAGAGTTATTGAAAGAAAGTACAGGGAAATAGAAAATTAAAATGGAAAGAGAATGGAAATAAGGAAAATATAATTCACACCTCACTCATGTCATGCATATACAGTTCCCCCTCCTCCACACACATTCACAAAAACACATATTCTCTTTTAAGCTCATTTCCATCTGAATATGAGATATCAGTTTCTTCATTATGAGCCTGAGGTGATTATAATTTTAAGTGTTTAAGTACGTGGCAAATATTTTAAAGAAGAGACTAGATAGAAAGCATATTCTGAACAAACAGAATCTATCATTTTCAAAGTTACCTACATGATTCTTACATATTTTCATGTACTTTATTTATAGCATTTTTTTAGAAGTGTATTTTCAAAGCATTCATTATGTGTAATTGTTTTGTAGTAAAAAACATCCTTTCATCATTTTTTATCACTGGAGGATTCCAGAGGAGTAATGCTATTATGACCACAATTTCAGTAAGACAATCAGGGTATTAGCTAGACATTGATACATGGAAGCAAAGCCAAGAAAATGTCCTATCCAAGATAAACAAGTAACAGAAGGAGCAGTGCAATATGGGTGAGGAAACAGGGGACTCCTAGGTGGAAATTGTACACATTGGTAAGGAAGGGAAGCTCAGAACCATACTTGTTTTTTTTTTTGTTGTTGTTGTTTGTTTGTTTGCTCGCTTTTTGTGCAAGACATTTTGTGAAATGTCCAAAAGAAGAGCAATGTCTTTCTTCTATAATGTTCTGGCTTTTTAATGGACTAGTAAATACTCTAAAAAGGTATGACATGGACAACACGAGGAACAAAAGTAGGATTCAATTATGGAAGCAAGAGTTTCTGTGATTTATCAATGTAAGCTCCAACGACAGGTTCTTTTATAAAATAAGTCTTGTATTCTTAAATAACATCTCTGAAGATCAGGAATGTAGGCAATAATATGAGAAAGCTGGAAAAACAACATTTTCCCTTTTTCATCTTAACTATATGCAATGGATTCTTAATAAAAAAAAAGTAGCTAATAGGTACAGACCTCATCATTAAAGGAGCTACCTTTCTGGTTTTGGGGGTTTTTTTTGAGTTTTTGTTGTTGTTGTTGTTAGAGGGAAAAATAGTATTACATTCTGTACTTAAAAATAAACTAATGAGAGAATATATCTCTCAACTCACATAATTGTATTCTTTAATGGGGCCTCAGTAGTTGGTTAAGTAGATAGGTAGTGATATGAATAACTAAAAAGAACTAATTGGAAGACATACCAAAAAATGAATTTTTACAGCTGCCTGTCTTACATCATGACTATTCAGTGAACTGGCTAGATCAAAAAATCTGAATAGCACCCTCCTCTCTTCCCTATATATTAAAAAAAAACTGATTGTAATTTTCCAGCATCTTTAAAATCAGTACACTTATTCCATTCTAATAGGGTTAGTTCAAACCCTCATCATTTCTTGGTTTTATTATAGCACAGTACTTTGCAGTGCTTTAAAGCATGAGCTCTTCAAACTAATTGTGTTGAAACCAGCTTCATGACTTATTCACTCTGTAATCAGAGGAAAATGAATCAGCATTTTCATCTATAAAATATAGATAATAAAAATAAAAACCTTAAATATGTCATTAGTTTTAAAAATAATTCTTTTAAAACATTTGAACCTATTCCAAAGACACTATTATTCATCGCTCTTTAGACATCAGGAGATTGCGTTTTCTAAAATGCACACCAAAATGATTTAGGCAGAAATCCAATTTTTTTTCTAGTATTATACGCTCCTTCCTAAAAGTGATCCTATTCTTTCCCTAAGCTTTAGCCTTAGTCTTCTTTCCCCGAAACTTATCCCTTGTCTCTTCTCTTCCTCTTTTTTCCCTTAACCCATCATTGTGATGTAAGGATGCACTGTGAGCTGGGACATGAGGAAGACTCACCAGATTGAGCACCAGGATGGAATCCTGTCTCTGTCTTGTCTCAACCTGCTCAGTTTTTATAAAGACACTGCTTTTTGCCTGGGAGGAGCTTTCAATTGAGTATCCCTTAGAGCTACCTTTGGAAAGTACACAAGGTCCCTGAACATTCTAGTTTCTAATCTGGCTCTGACTAAAGAAGAGAGCCTTAGGGAGCACTGGCTTCTAAGGAAATGAAGGCAGAAAATTGAGATTTAAGGTAGTATGATAGCAAAATTAGGAGGTCCCAGTACTCTCCCCCCATCTCCCCCCCCCCACACACACACAGAAACACCAATTTCACAATTGTTAATGGATGAATATATCTTTGTGAGAATTCCAGAATTCAGATGAAAGATTACAAGACCCCAGTGGAGTACACAACAAGACAGGTTGAAAAGAGTAAGAAGTAGGGGCCGGCCGAGTGGCACGTTGGTTAGGAGTTGGCTTAGGATGTCAGCTCTGAGCAGCAAGGCCGTGGTTTGGATCCCACATGAGGGCCAGTGATGCTGCGCCCTCTACAGCTAAGATGGTGAGCAACAGCTTGACCTGGAGCTGGGCTGCCATGAGTCGCCAATGACACCGTAGGCTGCAGTGGGCTGCCGTGAGCCACCGTGAGCAGACGTCCAGTGGCTGGTGACCAATCTGCTTCACCTGGGAAGAGCACAATGATAATACCAACATGGGCCAGTGAAGTGACATCCTCCACAACTAGACTGAAGAACAAAAGACAGCCACTTGTCTATTCCCCTCTCCCAATTCCCCAATGAAACCTTAAAAAAAAAAAAAGAATAAGAAGTAAAGTTTTAGTTTACTTACATTACCCTCCTCCAACCTAGCACTGCTCTGTGCCAAGAAAGAGTCCCTCAGCCCATGAGTTCCTCCATGGGTGGGAGAAGAGAGAGCAAGCCCACCCCTGTGTGTGTGTGTGTATGTGTGTGTGTGTGTGTGTGTATACACACATGTATAACACGTATTCACGCACACCTAGTCAATTCTCATAATTCTCTGGAGTTTTGTTCTATAAAGTCACTATGAACAATGAATTAGAAAATGTGGAACCATTGCTCCTGGGGAAAATTCAAAGTTAGGTTCCTGTGAATCTCTTGTCAAAAACTTTCTGTGAATCAATCAATCAATCAATCAATATATCACCTTGTTTCATGTATGTTTCTGCATAAAGACACCTCACTAAATACATAGTTCTTACAAATAATTTGTTGTGCAGCCTTTATTTTTTAATTTTTATTAAAATTATAAAACCAAAAGCAACAAACAAACAAGACAAACAAACATAAAACTCATAGACACAGGCAACAGTTTAGTTATTACCAGAGGGTACGGGAGAGGGCAGAGAGAGAGGGAATGGTAGAAGAGGGTAAAGAGGGTCAACTATATGATGATGGAAGGAGAACTGACTCTGAGTGATGAATACACAATGCAATCTATAGATGATGTATTATATAATAAAATTGTACACTTGGAAACTATATAATTTTACTAACCAATGTCACCCCAATATATTGAATAAAGTAAAAGTTAATTAATTTATTAAAACAACTAAATTAGTACATATATATCATCAAAAGATGAAGGTATAAATAAAATACAATGAATGATTTTTTACTTTTAAAAAACAGATAACTATACCCCATATGAATTAGCATAGATAGATCTCAAAATATAATATTTAGTGAAACATTTGGCTATGGAATGATACACATTTCATTACTATTTACATTAATTAAAATTTACAAATCCAACACACTTCCCCCAAATTTTTATATTTGAAACAATAAATTGAAACTTTCATAAAGACAAAACTGCATGTAGTAGTCATTCCTGCTTCTGAGGATAAAAAAACAAACAAACTGGACTTGGACTGGAGTAATAGCCATAGATCATTTCAACTTAAATGTCATGCATTGATTAAAAATAGCATTTGAGATAAAAAATTATAGTAATCATGTTTTTTTTAATTTCTCAGTTATGAGAACAAAGATGTTTATTCCATATTTTTGTTTTTTTTAAATTGAGGAAAAATTTAGAACTTAAAAATTGGGGAGGAAAAAAGCAATGTTAACAAATGTAACGATGAGATGGTCATTGCATGGACAATTCACTCTCACACAAAGTGAACTGATGCAAACAATTCTTGCTTCCACAATAGGGATTGGTCCTTGAACTTTAAATATTATAAACATTATTCAAATCATAGAATCAATAAGAAACCAAGATTAAATCCCCTAGAATGTAATTCGGCAGAACTAAACTTAAACAGAGAAAACTCTTTCTGGCAATAGCACACCAGTTTTCTTTTCGGGATCAAAATGTTTGGTAAACAAAGGAGATGGAACTCCCTATTTTTTAATAAAGACATGAAGCACTCGCTTTCGTATCTGTTTGGTCCTTACACCATAAATGATGGGGTTGAGTGAGGGCGGAATAACCAAATAGAGGTTGGCAACAAGAATGTGAATATAGCGGGGTATGCTGTGTCCAAATCGGTGAGTGAGGAAAGAAAAGACTGAGGGGATATAGAAAACACAGAGGACCACCACATGGGAGCCACATGTGCTAAGGGCTTTTAGCCGTGCATCTTGTGATGGAAGGCGGAAGACAGCACGGAGGATGTAAACATAGGAGATGCCAATAAGGACCAGGTTCATAAAAAAGAGAGAGACTACAAAGAGCCCATAGATAGCATTGATCCGGATGTTTCCACAGGACAGCTTTGCAATGCCCATGTGCTCACAGTAGGAATGAGCTATTATCCGAGCCTGACAAAAGGGTAGGCGGCAGATGAGGTAGATCATGGGAAGTATAAGCAGGACTGGTCGTATTACAATATACAAGCTAATGCCCACCAGCACCCGGGATGTCAAGGTGGTCGTGTAGTGGAGTGGAGCACAGATCGCCACATAACGGTCAAAGGCCATGGCCACCAGCACCTCAGCCTCCATGCCAGTGAAGGTATGGATCAAAAACATCTGGGTCACACAAGTTCCAAAGTTAATCTCATGTGCATCAAACCAGAAGATACCCAGCATGCGGGGTACAGAAGTTGTAGAAAGGGCCAAGTCAGTTGCTGAAAGAATGGCCAGAAAGTAGAACATGGGCTCCCGGAGGGTCTGCTCGGTCTTGATGACTAGCAGGATTGTGGCATTGCCCAGTAATGCCACAAGGTAAACAGAGCAGAAAGGCAGGGAGAGCCAGGCATGGACCTCTTCCAGACCTGGGATCCCAATGAGGAAAAACGTGGCGGGGTGAAAAAGGCTCCTGTTGTGATAAAACATCCTTCTAAATGACTAATTAGGAGAAGCTCTCACTCCTAGGAGAGAGGAGAAAAAGAATACGTTTGTTAAGAGGTGGATATAAAAATGATTAGTTTAGTGCTTTGAACTATAATGAAAATAAAAACATTTGCCACTTGGAAGGGCATATTCATGTTTTTTAAATTCTTAATCAAGCTGTACTCATATGAATGGTTCATTCTCAAAGCACTTATACAGGTTTAATTCTAATTTATTCACATGCAAGATTTATCAGCAAGCTCATGGCTCATTTAGAAGACATAGAATTTGATATTATGTATGGAAAATTTAGTGTGTCCCATACATTTTGTGAAGCTCCTGTCTTAAGAGGCATACATGAAAAATCAGGGATGCACAAATGGAAATGCAAACATAATCAAACAAGAAATAGACAGATGAGAAAGTAAAGTCAAAGGCACAGCTGTACAAGGCAACTCCATAATTAGAAAACGCAGGAATTTTCTAATGATTCATTCATCATCTATTGACATAAAGAAAATACTAAGATGAAGACTAATATCATGTCAAAAAAACAGAAACAGATTACCAGAGATACACAGTATCACAAATAAAAGTACAAAACTCTGGGACGCCTGCCCAGGAGCAAACACAGGCTGGGTCATATACCTCTATACTTTAAAGAGCCCAGAATGAAAAATAATAATAAACCTTCTGCATATGTTTACTGATGTTTCTATTCTTCCAAAATCAGCCCATTTCATAGCAGGTCATTTTATTTTTTTATTTTTTTAGTTTTTAATTAAAGTTTATTGGGGTGACAATTGTTAGCAAAGTTACACAGATGATTGGATAAAGAAAACGTGGTATATATACACAATGGAATACTATCTTGCCATAGGAAAAGATAAAATAGTACCATTTGCAACAACAAGGATGAATCTTAAGATTATAATGCTAAGCAAAATAGGTCAGACAGAAAACATTAAGAACCACATGATTTCACTAACATGTAGTATATAAAACTGAAAACAACAAAAGAACAAGAAAAACAGATAAAGAAACAAAACTCATAGACACAGGCAATAGTTTAGTGGTTACCAGAGGGTAAAGGGGGAACGGGATGGTAGATGAGGGTAAACAGTATCAAATATATGGTGATAGAAAGAGAACTGACTCTGGGTGGTGAGCATGTCCTTCTAGAGCAGCGGTTCTCAACCTACCTAATGCCGCAACCCCCTAATACAGTTCCTCATGTTGTGGGACCCCCAACCATAAAATTATTTTCGTTGCTACTCTATAACTGTAATTTTGCTACTATTATGAATCGTAATGTAAATATCTTTTTGTTTTCCGATGGTCTTAGGAGACCCCTATGAAAGGGTCGTTCGACCCCCAAAGGGGTCGCGACCCACAGGTTGAGAATCGCTGTTCTAGAGTTATGGTTATGGTATTTGAAAGTTTCTTTATTAGCTCTCCGCTTCACATCAGTTCCTCTGAGAAAATCTGCTAATTTCCACTTCCACAAAACTAGCATGTACTGGGCTCATTCCTGCTGCCTGCCTGAATCATTGTAAATGCTAGTGGAGGACAACCTAGAAGGCTTCAGGTGGTTATGAACCTAGAGAGTTGGCATTTTGGCATGCACAATCTGGAATAGCAAAATCTAATTGGAGAGAGAATTACCTTCTGTCATTATCTAAAGGAAATAGAGAAGGGCACTTTGCAATGCCTTCAAAATGATGGAGAAGCAACCAGGCACTCACAAACTCAAATAATGAAATAAAGGAACTTTCTGGGTCGCCAACTTGAGGCAGATTGGTTCAACATCAGAATAAAGTAGACAAACTTTTATCCTTTATATAGCTTCATATTTTATGGGAAATATATTAAGATAAAAACAGAATATAAGTGCTATATGCATTCTGATATTATGTTACAGAGAGAGAGAGAGAGAGAGAGAGAGAGAGAGAGAGAGAGAGAGAGAGAGAGAGAGAGAGAGAAACAGAGAGAGAAACAGAGAGGGAGATTGGAGAGAGAGAAGAGCTGTATTTTGCAATGCCTCTCTTATGTATGTTTTTTAAGAACTAAAACATCCAGCTAATGGCTATTGCTCAGAGGAAGGATGTTGGCCAGGACACCTTCTTTGATTCTAGATGTCCTGATGCCTACTTGGGTTCATCTCTGTAAATAGACTTTCAATAATATGTCACTGCTCACCTCATAGTTTTATCATGCTTCTGAGTCCATTTCAATCCCTATAAGCAGAAATTATACTTCATGCGCTAACTATATAATCATTTTGTTAATAAATTTTAAATGCTTTGGATCTTCTAAATATTTTTAAGGATTCCCAGTCTCCATTTATAAGTTGAAAGAGTCCCCCCCACCCCCGCCTTTTAGATTCAGAAATTGGGCTACATGATGCATATCATACCAAGCCTATAGCAGTTCTCAGCTACCTCTCTTTTTTTCATTTGACTTCAGAACATACCTTAATCAAAAGGAAATTCACCTGCGATGCTTCATTCTTCAATAAGAATAGAGACACAAGTAAAATATCGAGCAGCAAAGCTCTATGGCTCTTTTTTATACAGTCAAAGGAAAGCACTTTAATGTTAAGGCTGCAGCTGCTTATGACGTTGGAAAAACTGAGTTAACTGTTAACTACTGTAATGGTGTCCTGGGATTTACTCCTCTGAGATTGCTGACAAACCTCCTAGACTATGGTTTAGAAAAGCAGACGCCCACGCCCCAACCAAAAAAAGAAAAAAAAGAAAAGAAAAGTGATAAGGATAGGAATTTATATAGAGCAAATTACAAATGTGGGGCAAAACCACACAGATATTATCATTTATTTATGGCATAAAGGTAGTTACATTTCATCTTCTTCTAAGTGACATTTTCCAGCCAAATTCTATGGGTTGTTGTTCCTAGAGAAATTAATATTTAATCCATATTCTAAATTCAAACATAATAACCTGGCTTAGGAGACTCCACTTCAGCTTAGCTCTCACTCACTATCCCCTTCAATGACCACGTGTTTTAGGTTTATTGACAACTTAAATCTAGGGATTCAGATATGTGAGTCTTTGGTCCCACCCTCTTCTGTCCATGATTGTTCCTCTCAAATTTCCCTTTGACAAATTTTCCAATCTCTGTAACAGAGGCCATAAAGATGAATGGTAAAAATGTCCAATACTCTAATTGGTCCAAATCAGTTCACAAACTGATTTCCCAAGTACTAGTATGTCATCTTGAGTGATTTACTAATCATCTCTAGGGTCAGTTTTCTCAACTGGAAAATTAGGAATGATAATCCCAACAACACAGAATATTTTGAGGAATACATTAAATAGTGAATCTTAGGCACTTAAGACAATACCTGGCACATTTAAAGTGTTTAATTAAAATAGAATTGAGCTCACACCACTCCCTTCATATACCTTGGACCTATGTAAGCCACACTGAGAAATCTTTCATGCTACTAAGTCTATAATATTTGGTCTGGAAGTTCTCCTATATCTTAAACCTTTTCCATCATTTTACAGTCAAATGTATACATATTTCTCATTCTCATGAGAATAAAATTGTTTCACATGGAAGAATTATATCTCTTTACTGCACACTTGAGCAGGCGTCTTGGACAATACTTAAGAAAAAGCATAATCAGGCTTAAGATATAAAGCACAAACTACAAAGCATGAAATTAAATCCTTTTGACATTTTTGTCTTTCCAGTTATAGCAGACAAACCTTAAACTGAATCTCTGAAAATTTTAAATTTCATATATATATATATATATACATATACATATACATATGCATACAGTTGACCCTTGAACAATATGGGTGTGAATTGCACAGGTCCACTTACATGCAGATTTTTTTCGATAAGTATAGTCCGTTCTATGTCTCCACAGGTTTTGCATTTACTGATTCAACCAACTGAGGATACAAACCAGCATTTTAGCATCCCCAACCACAGGTTCCCATCCACAGGTTCCCATCCATGGATGGAAAATAGTGCTTTGGATCTGGGGTTGGTTGAATCCCTGGATGTGAGGATGTAAAGCACGGACTGTAGTTAAGTTTTGGGGGAGTCCAAATTTATATTGGGATTTTTCACTTGTTGCAGGTCAGTGCCCCTAACCCGCACAGTTTTTAAGGGTTATATATATTTGAATATGTCATTTTCCTGGACACTGTGTGTATGTATCTGTTAAATTCAGAGTTAATTTTAGCACATGGATTAAGAAACATTAGGCAAGCTCATACTCCTTTTTCTGCTGGTTGGGCATGAAGAAGCATCTATTCCTGTGTTTCTGCTCAGAGAAATCTCAGGACCATTGCAAGAGTCAGCCTTAGGATCAAGATAAGTCACAGAATGTCAACTCTGAAATACCAAAAGAAACGTATTCCATGCAGACAAAAAAATTGGACCAACTTTTTGGTGACAAGGAGCTCAGACCAATGTTATTAGCTTGTTTTAAGGTGAGACAAAATTTCCTCCAATGTTTAAGTAAGTTAAGTAAGATCAGGTTGCCCTTTGCTTAAAATTTTCTGTCCTAAAGATACACAATTTAACCCTTTTTTGTTGTTGTTTTCTGTGAGACCTCCCTACTTTGTCTTATTGTTCCAATAAGGACTTCTTTTATTTAATGTGTTATTAAGTCTAAGTATTAAGGGGTATATGCAGCTTACGTTCGAAGTCCTTTTTACACATTAACCTTTTTAATCTTCAAAACAGCAACCCTGTGACATAGATGCAATATTTATTTACATTATACAAATGGAAACTTTGAACTATAGAAAATTTTGACAGCTTTTCCAAGGCCATACATCTAGAAAGTAACAAAGATGGAATTTGAACCCATGTGTCTAATTCCAAAATCTATGATAGTAATCATATATTATACTGCCTCCTTTTTCTGTTTTTGGATCTCAAGCCTATTTTTTTCTTAATTGGGGAATTGGGGGAGGGAATAGCATTGGGGAATCAGGGAAGGGGAACAGACAAGTTGC